TACTTCATCTGTTCATTATCCTGAGTTGTGCTCAAAATATTGTATAACTCCAGCTGTAGTCGTGTAGCTCAAGCTAAATTCTGTACTGTATACGCCTCAGAGGAGCAATTAAACCAAAAACAAAGCCAATTTATTGTGCACATGAAATTCACAAAACCCAATCCTTTATCAGTCTTGCACAAATGCACTTGTTTGGGAATTACTGAGAGATAACAGCCATGAAAAAGTGACAAGTGGCTCCGAGGTGGGCGTTGAATAGTTGGAGGCTGCATCAGTTGGTGAACGCAAGCCAAGTGCACAAAGGAAACAACTGACTGCAAAGTACTGGAAGAATTAAAAACGGGTCGTCGTCAAGCATGTAGCTGTCACACCCTGGAAAACCCAGTAAGTGTTCTTTATAGAACCTTTATTAAAGTCACTGTACCTCACCAGACTCAATGCAAGTATAATGCTTGTCTGCCTATCTAAATGAATAATTGATTTAATTCAATACAATAAAACGCAAAGAAATCAGTATACCACTACAATTGTGTTAAGGTTACGGTCTCCCTCTGGGGACAGCCGTAATAAATGTGTAGGCTGTGCACTCTGCAAAAAGCTCTCACTAACATACTCGTAATGGATAGAGAACTCCCAAAAGAAGGCTATGTTTTGAAGGATATACATGCTTTTTCCACAACAGCAGCAAAAATGTAAAGTCCTTATAGGACAGTAGTGGCCTGGAGGTTAGACAATGCTTAAGACTGTGAGAGAACATAATTTGCCCCCCCCCCCCCCCCCCCAATGTCTCAGTGCCTCAAAGTATCACATTATTTTTTCATTTTCAGCTTTCACCTCGTGCACCAACTTCAAGGAGGGGATCGCTCTTTGAATTACATCTCAGGGGGTTTCTTCTGTTATTTTAAACCTGCTGGGATCATAGCTGTGTCCCAATTCTTTCATTCATACATGTATACAGTATGCAACATATGCTAATTGTCATGCTGTATTTGCAGTTATTACACAAAAACATTCTTTACAGTTGTGCGCTGACTGAAAATAGTGGGCGTGAAGTCAGTGAGTCAGCTGTCAGTCCAACTGCAGCTGACAATTAAAGTTCACAGAGACGGCAGATGTTTTTTCAAATATTTAATAGGTGTCTTTTGTTTCCCCGAGATATTGCTGTAGCTGTCTCACCAGCAGCTGCAATTAGTTTACATATTTGCAGCTCTGAGTGGCTTATTTATTTCCTTTGTGTGTTGGATTGTGGGCCAACCGCACACTCAAAGCATTTGTTAGAATGCATACTTTTCCAGTGTGAACACGCCACACACTTAAAACCTGATTAGAACTGGTGTGTAGTATATAGTATATAGACTAGAAATGTACAGTTTTGAGGAATAAGCAACCATGAGCTGCTGTTTTTCACACTACCAGTGGATGGGTAGGTGGGGCAAAACAAAATGTTATGAAATTAAATGTTTGGAAAATATTCACCTCAGTGAATCGAGACAACAAATTAAATATGACTACTGAATCTCTTGAGCTCAGTCACAGATGAATGACACAGGGAGTGCACAGGGGGCTGTTATTACCAGCCAATTTAATACATTACTGCAAGTGCAAACACCATGAGATGTCACAAAAGGCTACACTAATTATCTCCACTTTGTGTGAACCCTCACCACCCTTTGAAAGTTAGATGAATGCTCAAATTAATGAGAAAGTCTATTGATTGGACATCTTCTAGCTGTTTCAAAAGTGCCCAAAAACTCATTGACTGACCCACTTTTGCAGAAATAACCTTTTAAGTTTTTTCCTCACTTGCTTTTCAATGCAGTGGTTTTCCATCCTCTGCTTTCACATGCCTGCTGGTTCTGATTCCAGCAACCTAATGGTGGACTGATTGACACCTGCAATGCCAGGTGAATGTAATTAACAGCAATTAACCACATGGTAAGATAGATAACCAGTGGCACTGTGGGTCCAGAGGAAAGGCTCGAGAAGAACTGTATTAAAGAAACAAATCACTGTGTTAATTAACACAATGCATACTAAATGTCAGATTTTCAATTAGCAAAGGAAAGAAGAAAAGGGCAAAGCGGTTTGTAGCCATGATTAAATGAGCAAAAGTCAGATTGTGAAAGCCACAAAATGACCACACCAAAGCAGATAGTAGGGAAGTTAGAAAGGGCTTAAGGGAATAGTTTGACATTCTGGGAAATACACTTATTCACTTTCTTGCCCAGAGTTAGATGAGTGGATCAACACCGCTCTCATATCTGTCCATTTAAAATGAGGCTACAGCTGGGGGTAGCTTAACTTAGCACAAACACTAGAAGCATGAATGGCCCCTTAAAACCACAACGTGCAGTCTATGCATTCTGAATGTTGAAAGCCTAAAGGCAAAAAAGGTAGCACACACACACACACACACACAAATGTCCAGGAAACACTGGGTTAATCTCAATTCCACCTATTTCTTTCGGTCACGTCAAGCTAACATGCTAGCGCTACGGCCTGGTGGCCTTCATCAGATCATTGATTATAGACTGCTGTTTGGACAGTTAAACAATTGAGATACAGTGTGCCATTTAATGAGCTTTATAGGCACTGGTAGGCAGTTTATTTTTTACTTTGGACAGAGCCAGTCAATTTTTATCCCCCTGCTTCCTCTTTGTGCTAAGAAGCTAACGTCTCCTGGCCTTTAGCTTCATATTTAATGGACAAACATTAAAGTGGTATCGATCTTTTCATTTTACTCTCGGCAAAGAAAGCAAATAAGCGTGTTTCCTTGAATGCCAAACTCTTTCTTGGCCAGGTACTAAAATTTCAGGCTCTCAGACAATTTCAGAGTGAGTATTAAAGAAGGACACCAAGTCACTCGAGGGACCAGAAAGCTGCCTGGGCCCCTCACATCTCACAGACAGTTTGAAAGTTAAGTGAAATAAGTAGGCGCACCTCCAAGATGTGCCCTACAGGTGATCGATAAAATGTTAAAATCACCCCCCCCCCTTCGCTGCATTGGGAGCAACGTGGCGCTAACATGGGGGTAATATGCTGTTTCTTCAAAGCTGGCTGTCAGGAGTTGGGCGGCATACACACACAGGCTCAGACAAGCGTACTGGGAGTTTGGATCAATAATGAAAACCCCACAGTGTGTTCAATGACTGCTTTACACTGCACCATTGTGTTCTGTGTTAATGCAATGATAGCGTCTCATGGGTCCTTCTATATAGCACATGTTAAGTGTATGTGTCCGGGCTTTAAATATAACATACGTTTTCTCAATCGTAAAGCCACAAAGAGGGCTAACTGCCCCTCTGATTATCCTCTTCATTCGTTTAATCTTGGTTAACGAATTCCACCATTGATCTTTATACTACTGGGAGAGAAATGAGCACCTGAATGGACCCTGGGGAAATTGATCAGCCATATAGAATGGTAAGCTGATAATAAAGCATTGAGCTTCACAAATGGCCCTGGCTTAGATCGTTCAGCTGTAAGAGTATCACACAATGTAATGTCCTAATTATAGCTGCTGGCAATGTACCCCATATATAAGACACATTTCTTTGCTTTGGAATGTAAAATCTCATTCCTAGTATGCACTGTTTCTACATTTCTATTCACCCACTACACAGACAGTCATAGCAACACCCCCCAAAAAAGTTCCTTTTTGATGTTTTATGCTTTCGCTGATTGTCTGAAATTCCCTCTTCACCTCTGCACACAAACAATCCATTTTTTCAGCTTGTGTTGCTGCCTCAGTTAATTTCTTTCCCTCTGAATTGTGAGCTGCCACCATCAAAGCCCCAGATAGGAAACGCCCAGACAGACAGACAAGAACCGCGGTGTAATCCACACAACACTGAGCCCCTAAATCACTGCCTTTTAAGATGAAAGCCTGAAGGATGTAGACTTATGGCTGTAAACAAATCCATCCCGGTGCTGCCTACTGGCCTTACAAACACCAGTTTAAAGTTAAATGGGGTTGCAGCTCCCTCCAGTGTAAAGTGATGGACAGCAGTGAAATGATTAGCTATTAAAAGCTGCCTGGAGCCACAGCAGCAAGAAGAACCCAGTGCAGCCCTGAAACAAGTCAGCTGGATAAATATTCCACGGTAATAATGTTTTATGTTCGGGCTCATTGTGGTTTTCTGCCCGAGTCAGGCCAGAGTTATAGCTAAGACTTTTTTTGGAAGACCATTCTGATTTTAGCCCTCATTTCATATTTCCCCTGCTGGATTATGTCCCTCTGTCCGATTGATTTGACCCAATTGTCTCACATCGGAGGGTTTGGGATTTTGTCTGTGCGTCTGATTGGAAAACAAGGAGTCCCTGCAGCTACTGGGGCCGACTGGAGACTCAGAAATTGCGCTCAATTCAATTGACCACATTGATTGCATTCATTGCTGCCAAGGTTAGTGTGTAACCCCATTTAATAAAGTGACCATGTCGGTGGCCTTGTGTTTACCTGTCTGCACAGACTGGGACATTCGGTATTATCATGGTTCAACAGAAACACAAGAAAATACTATATTATAACTTAATATATTAAATTCTGTTAATTTATTTATTGTTTATATTTTTTATTTCCATTTAGTAATTCATTGCTTCCTTACTATTTTATGAGAAGTATCTACTATAAGGCGGTATAATAATGGTATAAAAAATATATATGCCATATAATATAATACACCTCTCAGTATGACAAAGTTCAATATCACGACCAACCCCCAAAGCAACAATAAAGTTGAAGCAACACCAATTCACACAAAAAATTAACATAAGCTTCACGAAGGCAGGAATGATTGCAGGAGCTACCTGATAAACAGTGTACAGTATATGAAATTTTCATGACTCACTAAACAGATGAATGCATTATCATAAAGGATGAGACGCAGAGAGAAGCACGTGAATTAGATATTTCTCGTAGTTTTTAATATTGACACTACAAATAACATACTGTAACATTATGATTACCGAGAGACCACCTCAGACAACAGAACATATATATAAAAAAGTAAAAAGTTTATTGAATTGAAGCTGAGATGTTATGGGTGTGTTTATTACTCAATAAATTTGAAGTAATACACAAGTTTGAGCACTGTGCTTTTATTATGAAAAGCAGTGTTGTGTCCATTGGCCATTTTCTGTTATGTAATTAATGGTAACTGAGTGTGTACTCTTTGTTTCACCTCTGCACTGGTAAGAAGTTATATATTAAGTGAATTTATTATAGATATGGTCAGCTTCAGTGTAGTGTCTGATGCAGCAGGCCTGGCATGGATTTGTAGAATGGTTTCATTTTCCCCCTCATTCACAATATATTGCACAGTGGACGTTCTCCACATCATTTGGTTCTACTGGTTAACTTACTGTGAGGCACTTTGTGACGTCTGCTCTACAAAGGTGGTATAAACATATTTTTTCCTTACTATTGTGTTTATCATTTAGATGTGTGCTTGCAAAGCATCTAAATTGCTTGGCCTTTAAAGGTTACTACCACAACCATGCCAGAACTTCAACGAGAACCTAATGAAGCTTCTACAGTCACTTAATGCTTCATTAGATCAAGAAGGATCTAGTTGTGGATGTTTCGCCTGCTGGCTTAAAGAATGCCGATCCTTGAGAACGTGATGACATTTGTCATACTGAAGTGACATTTTAAAAGTGGCAATGAACTGAGATGGGGAGCCATGTTGCCCAAAGTAACCTTTTCTTTCAAAGTTCTTTTTGTACTGACATTTTAAGGGATCTCGGGATGATGGGATGGGGGTGGGGGTGTGCTTGAATTTGGCACTTTGACACCGGATATGGAGAATCCTAAGCTACCTGGGAGCTAAGGGAGGGATTTTCCGTTTTCTCTGAGATTGGTTGAAATCTCCTCTAGTATTCCTATTTAATAGAGAGGGAATGAAGACCACCTGTAGAAAACTGCTGGACTGATTACTGTGAACATCCTCACTCAAGGTCAATATCCTACAATACAGCACCACTGCAAGTCATAAAGCAAATCATTTATAACAAGGAATGTACCAATTACAGGTTGCAAAAAAGTATTACACAATTTAACAACTAATAATTGCAAAACCAATGTTTTAATTATATTAACACTCAAATGAATATGAGTCATGAAATACTTTAAAAAGGTTGATTACGTGCAACAGTTCAAGGCAAAAAAAAAAAAGCTTAAAACAAAGGTCTAATCTAAGAATATGCAGGCAAATTATTAATAAATTAAAAGAGTTTAATGTCATTAAGGATTACAGCAAACACACAATGCTGTAGAAAATGGGAGAGAAATATACATTTTTTTTGCATTTCAGGATTCCCTGAATTAAAAAAAAAAGAAATCAACACAAATTTCTTTAGTAGAGTATACAGCACTCTAAATCTCATCCACTATTGATACCTCTCATTGTTAGTGTTTTGGAAGATTCGTGTTCATCGGTTTTCCCATGGGTTTTTCCCTCCCTGTGGTTCAAGTCCTGGGCAGGTTATGGAAACATTTGGCATGTAGCCTCGGACTGGGTTCTGTCTTCCAGATTGCATTCCGCAGAGTCTTTGCAGCAAAGTAAACATATGCACCAACAACAAATAAGACAAGAAAATTAAAAGAGGCACGTAGGGCATTTCTCAAACAACATATTTGTTCTTGGTGGTTGAACCGCTTTTGGTGGCTGTGTCTGCGTGAGATTGGTAGCCAATAGACATCTTCAAGGGAAGCCCCAAGCGCTCCTTGTAAACTCTCCTGTTGACGGGAAAATGACACTGTAAGAGGATGAGGAGAATATCTTCACCGGTGATTATGAATGGAAACACCTGCCTCACCCTATGTGCGTCACAGCATCCCGGTTCTCGTAGTCTGATGTCCAGACGGCTATTTTATCTCCTTTTGTGCGGATGTTGACCACGGCTCCACAGACGTCATCGCTGTAGTCGTCAAAGGCCTCTCCAACTAAGCACAGGAGCTGGTGAGGGGATGGAGAGGAATAAAAGCTTTTTAAAACACATTTGAAATACTTCAATTTCACAAATAATATTCAGTAATATATTTTGTTTTGCTGCTGTACATTTCTTTATAAATACAGTAAGGACCAATAACCCAAACTCATTATCCCCATGGTATGACATTCCCAACAAGACCTTTCATCATGGTGAAAAAACATCATTTCAACAGACACCAGATACTAATAAACCAAATTAATTAGCACAAGACCAGATTATACTATACAAGAACATCAAATCCATGCACAGGCGGACAAAGTACAGGGATTTGGATGATCAGCCTTTGAGCTCAGCAATACCAACCCAGATCCAACACTTTGTACTGTGCATTATGGTGCACCAATATCTTCCAGAACCTGGACACTTCAGTCACACAGAATGTTGGAAATACAACCTCACTGGCTCAAGCGGCAACCTCCGTGGACGTAACAAAAACTGCAGTTCCTCTAACGGCCACTCGAGGCTGGCTTGAGTGACTGCCATCAGGCCCCATATTAAAATGCCCAACTTTACAGAACTCATGTTTACAGCCTGGTACCAAAAACTGTTTGAGTCTCTTCAGCTAAATACCGTGCTCATGATAACTGTAGTGGGCCAAGTTTTTATATAATCTCTTTAAATTATATTAGGGCTATATTAAGTTATGCATAATTCTGGACGTGGCCGTTCTAAGTGACAGGTGGGTGCTGTCACAGGCAGCTGTTTTCAGTAACCTCAGCTCCTCCAACGCTCCATGTATTTGCCCATTTTTGGATTAGATTTCCTTTGCAGGACCTGGACCAGGGCTGAGCGTAGTCCTCCACGACAACTTCACATCACAGCTCAAAAACTGTTCATTTGAAACTGCGCACAATCATTAAAAACCTCTTAAATATTAAAACATTTTGTACAGCTTCACATGTATTAAAACAATGGTGTCATTGCAAAAAAGAGTGACTCCTTTCAGCACCGCCGCTAACTGACAAGTCATAGCTGGCTACATGTCTGTATCACTGTCAGTGACCTTTAGAGCAGCAGGAGGTCTCACCACAACACTGTGCGGACTGCAGACTGAGCAGCAGGCCAATATTCAGTTGCTCTCATTGCGACCACTTATCATCCCCTCCGCATACAGTCAGTACAGTCAATAGTAGATTTTTTAGATAGCATAACTGATTTTATTGTGGAAAAGGATGCTGACAACACCAAAACAATCTGATCTGTAGCTCACTTCAATTTGAAAAAGGTATGAGAGGATGCGATCACTCATTACAGCAACTAATTATGGCTGTCAAAAGGTAATAAATGTACTACTTTGGGAAGAGGCTCAAGAAACAATAAATAGAATCACTCATTTGAACAGGACACAAAGCAGAGCAGCCAAACCTACAGTTTCCAGCCAGTAGCGGTCCAGGTCTGATCTCCTCTGCTGCTTGTTGAGTGTGATCAGCCAGCGCCCGCCGCGCTTGTTCCTCTCGTCCTCCCACATGGGTTCAATGCCATCCTGCAGCAATGGTTCAAATTGTCAATGCACGTCCCAAAACCTCTGCACCAAACCTTCAAAACAGCCTTCACAAGTGAGGTTTCAACATGATTTCAACATTGCCTGCAAGAAATATACCTGTATCAATAACCACAGGAGAAATGATTTCAATCTGACTAAAGGTGGCAAAAACGCAAACTGTGTCCAGTGGTGGTTCAATATTTGGTTAATATCTTTTTCTCAGGTTGCATTTCCGCCCTTCTACCCAAGCTCTGCCTCAACAGTACAACTCACATTTAAGCAACTTTTTTATTTTTTTATTTTGATAGATTTTCATAGCTGATAATGTTAATGATTTAATCAGTGATAAAGCACACTGATCAAAGATTACTGCCTTTCCATTTATCATCATCAACTATCTCAGTTATCACAGTATAATTAGTGGCTGCTAGCCACCTCCTGCCATTCAACTTCCTAAACTTCCACACACGCCTCTCATATTCTGTCATCAAATCTGGTTAAATGAGCTCTTTTGTGGATGAGCTCTGAGTTGGCAGATTTAGTCAGAAAAATCCTGCCCACGTCTTTCTTTGTTTGTCTAACTTCCAGTAATGATGCTGTTGTTTTGACAAAAACTCCCTCCCTCAACTGTCGACAAATCTTTCAGGTACTGTTCTGTTTGCAGGAGCTTTATTTGACTCTGTTGTCGTAAAATTCGTGCAATTTCAGCTGGTGATAAAATGGTTTTATTACATTTTCAATTCATTGCCCATTATTCTCACGGAGGATTTTGAGAGCCCCGTTTTTCAAATAACCACCAAAAGATGATTTTTCCCCCCCCGTACTACGATTCTGAATGATAACAGCTGCAATACAGTATATGAGGGCTCAGGCCTTTGCTTCTTTTGCAAAGGATGTCTCATTATGTAAACATTATCTTCCACTTTGACAGAAAAATGTTTTCTAGCTTTTTAATGGTTCTTTTTACTTTCACTGAGTCAGTATCAGAAAGAGAGAATAAAAACACTCTTGTCTTTGTACGTATTGAACATACTATACAGCAAGTGTGTAAAATATAAAGTATCTCAGCCCAAGAAAGAATATTGGCATGCAAAAATGGTTTTAAAAATGGATTTAACTATACTTTCTTCCAGATTTGTAGTCCTCACTCTCTGCACATTTACATAAATGTTAAATAAATTAAACGTACCTTAAAAAGGGAGTAATCACAGCCGGACAAGAGGTTGCTTGACAACTGGATATGGTTGTAGAGACTGAAACAAAGAGTGCACGGCATTAATGAAACATGCTGATCTACCAGTATTTTTAAAAAAAAGGTATACGGCCATGGCATTTTACTGCTTCAGTCACTCCATGGAAGTACAGGAAACCAAAAAGACCCAGAGAGATTTATTGCTCCTTACGCCCAGAAATCTTCAACCGTGTCAAACTTAGAGATGAGTCGCAGGTTGGCCTGCCATGTTTTGCTCTTGTCATTCTTGAAGAACCACAGAGACCATCTGTTGGGTGAAAACAGAAAAAGGGATTTGCATAAATGTAACAAGCCACTAATTAAACAGGAGGTAAACAAAAGTAACCAAAAGCCATTGGGCTTTGGAGCAAATGAGCGACGTATGGATGCACCTGGATGCCGCCGACACAAACGGTATCTGTAAATCAAGCTATCGCTCTCTTAGTCCAATTAATTGTGACGCCGTGTCATACTTGTTCAACGCTGAATCCTCTTATAGTTCAGCAACTGTCTTAAGCTTGAGGAATACTACAGAAAACTGTGGCTGCTGACACTACTATAAAGTCATTGTGTCAGTGGGTTTGGAAGGTGTTTCTTAAATAAGCCCACATAAATGCCAGCAAAGGACGGAATAAGTCAACCGATACAATTTGAATTCTGTTGAGTTGCACTGTATATGCATAACAGACTGTGTGATAAGGAAATATGAAAATGCAATAGTGGGCAGGCTTCTGTTTATGGCACCTTTGTGTATTCTTTGTTAAACCTATACAGATACAATGCAAATACAGACACGAGCAGTGTTCAGTTAGCTGCTATCAGAAACTTTAGATATAATCCCACTAAATCTTACCCACTGGTTCTTTAACTTGTCTTGTAAAATATTTGAATGTTTCATTATAGGCCATAATCTGAGGCAGCATTATGTACAGTCTCTTACATGGACATCTACAGGGTGGTTCTTTGCCTTACAATGCATGCTGGGATAAGCCCATGCCCCCCATGACCCTGTAAAGAAATAGGTGAGTCAAGTAAATTAATGAATGCTAATAGGCAAATGTTGTTTGACCTGTACAAGCAGCACAATAACGGTCAACATATGGGAATACTTTGCCATTGGACTTCAACCTATGTATTTCTAACCTCACAAATGAGTTGTTCGGGGTCCATCTTTTCCTTCACTTTACTGGCTTTCTGTTGAGTTTGCTTTTTCTATTCAACCCTTTTGGAAACAAATATCCTTGTGGAATTTAAATATATATAACATATTCAATCGTTGCTTATTTGTATTCAGCACAGAGGGGAGTTGGAACCTATCTGAGTATGGACTGAGAGGAAAACACTGAAACACTCTGGACAGGTCACCAGACAATCACAGTCTTACTGTGGGGAAATAAAGTTTCCAATCCAGCGGACTGCAATTGTTTGGACTGTGAGAGAAGATCCACTTTAACACTTAAAGAACGTGAATACACACAGAAAGGACCGGGCCATAAGAAACACTGCTTAACACTGAGTCACTAACTACAGGCACATTATTATAAAACATTATGTTATATATACTATATTCTTATATATCCTTAAATGAGTTGGTAGAACAAGCCCAGAATTAAAGAAACCGTCAAAACATAGTCAGTCGATTTATTTACTTTCACATAGTTTTACTTTTTTTGAAGAGTGTAGTTGAAAATGGATTTTTGCTTAAGTAACAACTCAATTGATCTGGAAAGCAAACACAGATAGATTTGGGGAAAAGAGTATTTTGCTTTTCACATGTTTTTATGGTGCGCTGTACACTATTTTATAAACTGCTCAGCTTCCTCCTGGTGAACACAGTGGGCATTGTTTTTGGTGACCCTTCAATTCACATCTCGCTTTCGCTTCCATATGAGCTGTCCACTCAGCTGTGTGGAGGAAGGGTCATTCTGTTCAATTGTGAAACACATCAGTCACTAATCTTGTCTTTGAAACTGAGGGTGCAGCCAGTACAGCCAGAGGGTGATCAGATACTGCTGTATCAGTACAAGGCCAATATATGGGATTTCTCTGTTTTGCCTCAAAAGTGAGACTCTAAGCACTCTCAATTCAACACGCAACCCAAAGCAATACATGGCTACCAGCAGTCCATGAACCAAATTATTGGAGGTAAAGCTTGATTTTTGTGACTGCGACTTAAATAAAAATGGAAAATAATTATCACAGCTAAAACTAACTAAACTTGTTTTTTTATTACCCAGTTTATACCCATGACAAGATCTGAAAGCCCACAGGGACATTCCACAAACAGTACAATATTATTATATTATATTATATATATTAATATTTGCAGAAATATAATATAATATGCAGAACTATGTTTTCATTAGTGTATAATCAACTGAGTATAGGAATGGTTGTGTTTTTGTTACCTTAGAATTAACCTTTTTTATCTACAGGCGCTCCTTTCATGGAAGCTGCCATACTAAACCACCATGTTTCTACAGTAGCCCAGAAGGGACAAACAAAACACTGGCTGTAGTAGGGGACAGTTGGTGCTTTTGTGTATTTTGCGGCCACCATAATTTCCCTTTCGCGCTTGGGAGGGGAGGGTGAGGGGAGGGAGTTTGTATCTATTACTACTAATGTTCCACCACTAAATCCTACACACTGGCCCTTTAAACTGCAGAAGTTCAATAATGTTGGCATAAAAACACAGCCAGCCATTAACAGTTATGTAAAGGCAAAGGCAAATACTGAAAATGATCAGAAACTTTCTATTTTCTCATGCTTAAACTTTCCCCTGACATTAACCTATTAATGTCGACATAATTCCCCTGACAGTGCTTAAAGTAGTTGAGCTCAAACCCACAGACATGTTCTAAAATCAGTCAAAGTATGAGCACAAATCTTTCTTAACATGATTTTTTTTAGTCACTAGGGGTTGTTTTTTTTTTAAATGATTTTCCAGAAAAACATCTCTAGAACAATATAATGTTTGATATACGCATATTCTGGATTGTTACAATATAGATAAAAAGAAAAATGATAATCTGTTGCTTTTTCTTGTTCCAGTATTTCCATTGTGCAGCCCTGAGAGACGTTTTGTAATGTATTCCTATGGAATAAGATGAGGAACTTGTAGTGACTAACAACTAAATATAGCATGTTACAGAAATGGCCGTATCTCAAAAAGTACAAGGAGTTATATCAAATGCACGGGTACCACTGGATTCAGAATAACTTCAGTTTCATTGATATGTGCTTTGATCCAATTTAAATATTATTTTATATGATATTTAACATGTCAAATGAATGGATTTTTTTGTATTTTAGAAAAAAAAATCAACTTTCTCTACCAACTGAGGCATTATTAATATGTGGAATCAAGATTTTGGACATGGTCAAGTGTAGCCACATCTCTTGACAGTTTCCAGGGCGGATTTTGTGCCTCCACCTCTAACAGAAAACAAATCTGTGGGGACATACTAAATATAGTTGTTAGTTATTAATGGAATAAATGACTGGTTCCTCTCATAGTAAGTTTACAACATGAAAAAACAACCATTTAGTTCTAACAATAGTAGTATACAGAGAGAGCTTCTGGACTTGACAGAAGAAGTCAAATCTCAGCTGAATGTGTGCTCCAATGCTCGCTTTAATGAAACTGACTTGTTCTGAAGGGGGTGTTTGATGTAGGCATCTGGGCTCACAATCTCCTGTCCGCTCTCCTCGGCTCCAACTTCATCAGGCTGGGTTGGACTTGGGTTGGTTTCCTACAAAGCAGTTAGAGGTGAGTAATACATATAAGGGAAGTAGGCGGTGGGTTTCTGTTTCCAGTGCAACCGATCCTACTTGACAGGGTGGGTCTAAGTGGAGAAATTATCATGTAACCGTAACATGACGTCGTTTTCCAGTTGTTGATTACATAAGGGGACACTTCAACCACGGCAAACATATGGTACATACATACAACATATGGTTAAAGGCAACATTTAGAAAGACCCATGGTGAGAAAAGAATAGTGTTGTGTCTCGTCTCAAACCAAATAATGAATCTCTTAAGTAAACTTAAATAATATATTCGGTGACGGAAGCGTTCATTAGTGAAACCCGATATGAACATCTGGTACACATTTCACTGTGGCGTGAAGCTACAGTTTGGCTAGCTGACTCTCCTGCTACCACTACTGGGGGCAAACAACTTTAAAAAGTGCTAACTTCATTGTCAGACACAGTTCAATTCATTCCCAAAATGTTTGTTGACGAACAGAAAAAACTTCCATTCATATAACTTATTTAAGTTGAATGATTCCCTTTAATGGCCCAGTCTTGAATTCGGCATGAATTTAACACACCAAATAGTGTTTATTAGTTTAAAAAACAACAACTTTAAACCTGACACTCTTACTATCCCACCCTCGCCTAGCATTAGCTCAATTCACGTTAACCTCAGCCACTAAAGTAACTAACTTAACGTAGCTGACGTTTCATGGTAGAGGTCAGCAGGGAGCACTGTCAACCAATTCTGACAGTTCACATTTGAGCTACAAAACTGCTGTTTGTGTTAGGTGGGTTATTTTAAACGCCGAATTCACTGGTAGTTCACAATACTCGTACTGTCTTAAATAAGTGTTAGTCGTATCTACTTTTGTCAATAACTTAAGCAATGGCAAGTTAACGAGCTCATTTTGCAATGGAAGTTGCTGCGGTTCTCATTGCAAAGGTGAACGGCACGTCGGTTAGCCATAACGTCAGCCTTAAAGTTAGGAGATCTCCACACACAAGCATTCCTCTTTCACGCTCAGGTCGTGGCACAGAAGACAAACTAGAAACTAACCAAACACCACGTGTGGTTGTCACAATGGTCACTTTCCTATCGAGGACCAATTTTTAAAATTGTTCATAAACTTTTAACGTCAACTCGCCCTGTATATACAGCGAGAGACCCCCCCCCTCCTAAATGTTTTGATAATGTTCTTTAGAGAAAGTGCTCACCGGTTCGGCGGTCGCCATCTTACAAATCTGTGTTAGGAAAGTTTGTGTTGATTGGAGGGAGCTGCGCAACGTGACGACCCCGCTGCGGACATGCGCTGTGTGCCGCCGCTGGCTGGCTGCTTCTCCGCGACTCCACCCCTCCTGCAGACGAAGGCATGGCGAGCACCGAAGCTAGAAGGGAGTGTGAGACAGAGGGCTGCAGCAAGGACGCCAAACTCCAGTGTCCCACATGTATCAAGCTTGGTATTCAAGGCTCCTATTTCTGTTCACAGGTACTGCTGCTTTCTCAGCTTGTGCGGTTCAAACGTTGGCTGTAGCCCCACGCCAAGGCCCTGTGTCTTATCACGAGGCTGCTAATTGCCAAGCTAGGTAGACATGTGTACATGGTAACCCGCTAATAACCAATTCTCTTAACGTTAACGAATGGCTCCTAGCTGTGCAGTGTTATACAGTTAGCTGCGGATGAATAATGCAGTCAGTGTTTGTAACCGGTGCTATCTGTGTACGTTAACAGTAGGCCGAGTGGGGAAACGGTCAGCGAGCTAACTGTTGACTGCTTAGCTAAAGTGAGTGACACAACGTCCCTGGTCACAGTGAAAAAGCCTCTAGTGTGAAGTTCTTGTGCTGACAGAGTAAAACTGTGAGTGACATAGTGTACACTGTTTAGGGACCAGGTATTTCAGTAATGTAATTTACTGCTATTAATGATAATTGAGTTGTAAAGTGAGGTAACGGTAATGTAGCGTGACAGATCAGTTGGTGCCACGATGTTTGATCCTGGTGCTTTTCTTTCCAGCGACACCAAACCCCAGTCACAAATCTGTCATTTTAAAGACTCCCCTCTGATCCACAATACCTCATACTTGGCAGCTGAATGTTACTTATGCAGGAGTTAATCCCCATTTAATAAAAGTTTGACTGAGCAGGACCTTTTTGAACAGAGTGACAGCTTTTAGTACTGACAGATGCCATTGTCACTGTAGGTGTCTCTTCACTTAAGTGCCTAAAGGGCTTGTAAGATGTTGTGAGAGTTGATATTGTATTGATACAGTCTGCGGATGCTGCTTTGTCTTGCAGCAGACACTGGCCTTAAAGCATTAAGCATTAAACATTAAACTACAGCAATTACACTCTCAACTCTCTCTGCAGAAGGTCTCTGTTTTGAGTACATCTAATGCAATGTTCTTTGAACCCAAAGCTTTATAAATAGTCAGGTGGGGTGGCAGTTTCAATGATCTTGTGGTGCTATGGCATTTGACCCTAGAGGTCTTTGCTGCGATTGCAGTTTCGGCTGTGCAACCTGACCCGGCTTTCTGTATTCCCTGTCTCTCTCTCTCTCTCTCTCTCTGCTCTTAACTGTCCAGTTAAGGCGTAAACGGCACTGAAATTAGTAATAATTGCCGACATGTTTGAAAGTGTCTACCTCTAGGGCACTTTCTGTGGTGCAATATCTGTCACAGTGTGCAAACAAGTAGCATTGTTTTTGCCAAAGCTGGCTTTGAATGAGTTGTGCATCAGTACAAAGTCAGTGACCATGCATGTGATTGTAAAACATTAGCTAGCTGTAATTTTGAGCACAAGTATCAGTCATGAAAATCCATGGCTCTGTCATTGTATGTCCCCATTTAGAGTTTCTTTCTGTGTTTTCATTTCCAGGAATGTTTCAAAGGGAGCTGGGTGTCTCACAAGTTGCTGCACAAAAAAGCAAGTAAGTATTCCTGATCGCTGCCGGTTCTTCTGTGCTAGAGTTAATTCACAGCATATAAATTGGTAACATATTATTTTGGACGCTAGTGCCGAAGAAAACCAACATCTGAACCTTTACACGGTGTCCAATTAGAGCTTGTTACCAAAGTCGAGAGCAGGTGTTAGCCCTTGACTGCGAACTAACACATTGGCCCCAGATGCTTCAGAGATCTTGTGCTGTGTTTTGTTTGTTTCAGAGGAGGACAAGAACCAGAATGAATCTAAGAACTGTGTGGAGAAGGACATCAACACAGACCCATGGCCGGGCTACCGCTACACAGGAAAACTACGCCCTCACTACCCACTGGTAAGTTCTTGCTGTTAAGAAAACAGTAATTTCACATATGTTGCCATGTATAATTCATTAAATAAAAAATGGATAGAATGACCCGAGTGAAGAAATACATAATCAATGCCTCTCCATTTGGTTGCATTTGACGGTGATAAACTGGTTTGCACAATTTTGTCAGCATTTTTCTTATACTTTAACAGAAAATGTAAAAAAATGTTGCTTTCTTCCATTCTGTTTCCTCCTTGGACCCTGGTGTAGACTCCCATGAGGCCTGTGCCTGGTGACATCCAAAGACCTGACTATTCAGATCATCCCAGAGGTAACCATGCTGCTTTCTTAATGAAATATACCAGAGATAGTCTTTCATAAAATAAGAGGTTATAAGTATAGAAAGTAGTTCCAGTCATCAAATACTACGTTATTCTCCCGGCAAATTTGCCCAGAGACATTCACACCGCAGTGCTTATGGTGTGTTTTGATGTCAGATAGTCTGTCCGTCCATCTGTTTGTGTCTGTCCTGACACACAGCAAGTGCAGATTGTCATGAAATCTGTCATGGTTATTCCTGGTTCCCATTCCCAGATGACCATTGTTAATGATTTTGGTTACCCCTCAGTCCTGCCTCTATTGCCAACTCTGGCCTAAATGTCTATTTACAGAAAACATATCAAAATGTACTGCTCTGATTGCCATAGAATTTACCGAGCAGACTGATGCTCTGGTGAAGATCAGTGCCTTTGATTTTAATTACCCTCAGGACAAACTGCAAATTTAGCACCACTAACAGGAAGGCTCTAATAATAGCTAAAATCATCAGTATTTTCCTTGTTGTGTTCAATACTTTCACACTGTGGGATGTAATGATGGCTGTTGGCGGTGCTTCACACTCTGTGTTGTTATTAAGTAAGAACTCTGTTGTATGGTATAATGATGGATAAAAAGAAAGCATATTTATCATCCAGTGAGCACATTGCTCACCGTTCACAGCTCCAGAGTGGTGAAAACTAAGAGACTTAACACTCAAAATCTACCAGAGCAAACTCACTTTATCACCCTAATTACCAACGGATGGAAGTCTACAGTGAAAAGAAATGGGGGTTCTGTATTTTGGCTCTCACTCCAGCGCACTGTGTGTCAAACCATTAGCTCCTGTCTTTTGCCCCTTTGATTGAGCCAGTCAAGCTAACTGCTCTTGATGAGGGGCATTGTCTGACTAACAGAAAATAAAGACAAAGATGTGAGTATTCAGCTTTTTTATTTAGGTTACACATGGTTAAATTAACCGCATTAACTTGGAGGCATAGTACAGTGTTCTTCCTGTATGAAAATAATGGGAAAAAAAAGTCTAACTAACCAACATCACCACTTAAATGTTCTATGTAAAAAGAAATGGTGTGTTTGTTCTTTAGTAAAAGAGAAAAAAAGCAGAGTGCTCTGCTGTGGTGTTGTTGTTAACATTATGTTTCCAGCAGCAGACCACTGGAACAGACTCTCTGCTGCAACTTTGGCACTGGAGCTCCGGTTAGGTTAGTCTGTGGGTTAGGTGTACATAGTATTCACAAAATACACCTTTGTCTTACACGCCGGGTGCTGCACTGTGCCCTCGCTGTTCAGTTCCACCTTTCTGATCCATCAACAGAACATAATTAACTAAAGTTATTGCAAAATGTATTAACATTTTTGGCATTTGTGACTCGATATAGAATCATAGAAAATACAAATCGTGATTCTTAAGTGGGTCAGTGTTTTCACCCCCACTATTGCCTTATATAAATACAGGTGCTTATCCAGTATAATAGGGTCATCACTATATTGGTGGGAGACGAATCCTAAATGAGAACTAGTCAACTTTCTGAAGAGTGAACAATTAGAGATGCACCTCTGAGATTCTCAGACACATTTTTTTTTAATTCCAGTACTTCAGCATAACAGTTAGCCATTGATGGCATAGATTTGTTCCACGTGAGTGCACATTCTGAGTTGCAAGCTGTTGAAGGCCTGTCTCAGTGTGTTACAATAGTCTGGACAAAGCGGTCATCCATGCTGGTGTTTTATATAACTTTTTGCATGAATACACAGATAAGCTGATATGTCTTGTGCTGTTGGCTAAAGAATTCAACAGGATAGTGTGCACCCCTTGTAGGCAACGCTGAAGACAGAGAACCGAGAACGCTGAAGAGAAGAACTACAGCAGCACAGTGAAAACTGCTCCCTACTAAGTTCTTAAACACTTCTTTGTCACTAGTTTGTTCTTCATTTAGCCTATGTGAACAAAATGATGCCACGGTACAGTTGTTTTATCACAGTTTTCCTTTTAAAAAAGAAACCACAAACATGACATAACGAGGTGCCGTCACTCCCAAACAGCTGTCTGCAATGAGTTCATTACGTGGTTGGTGCAAGTGGCTTAAAGCTGTAGCTGCATAATGATATGTTCATTCTCAGTAGGATTGGTAGTACTAGAATCTTTTCACTGGAGTGAAATTGATTGATTTGAAGCGTGTACATTGTAGTTGCATGCTGTTCCTCTTTTGCTATTTTGACACTAAATAATCATTTCATCATTTATTTTAAGCATGTACCTTTCTCCTAATAATATTCCTTTCAAAGCCGATATTGAAAACCTTAAACTGGAATGGATTTAGCTATGTTTAACAGCCCAGTAATCTCTCACTATAATCTCTTGCCACCATTGGCTTTAGATTTATTGCAGGGGAAAGTAAACCTGCTGACAGAGCTGCTGTCATGACCAGTGTGCTTCTTTGGTGTTAATTATTAGTCACCTACAATTGTAACCTGGCTTATTTACGTCTATTTCTCTGGGCAAGCCATTCATTGTGCAACCATGGCAACCTCTGCATCCTTGTCATCTGACTGCATAGATCCATACTCGGGTAGTCATGGTTACAGTCTCCTTTCATTCTCTTGTGATGCCTTCTCAGGGACTGAGGCACAATTGTTACTGTCTAATGTGTTTTTTTTAACACAGGACTGTTATTGAGGTGAACTCAAATCATTTTTGTAAAATAAAATGTTAGTTATTGCCATTAATAAATGTCCGAGACAGTTGACCTTACCATTGTGAAGACATAATAATGTGCACACTGATTTTCTCATACTTTGCTTCTTTCCTGAGCAGCTGTATCAAAGCGTAAGTAAGTCCAATTGATTGTTGCACTCACACTGTGGGCTCTTCAGGTCAGAAGGAGGGCTGTATTTGACTCGATCACAAACCTGTCTAAAGTCCATGTTGCTAGGCAACTGTCCATGGTCATCCAGCAATCATCTTGTTGAGTTAATAAATTATAAATGAGTGAATTGTTGATGACTCCAGTGCTTTGACCAACATGTACTGAAATGTTGTCCTAATATGCTTTTCAGTCCAAGAATAATGATCTGATCTTGTTTAATCTGTAGTCCAACTGCTTGTAGTCTTAATTCATTGCCAAGCTGACTGCACTGACAGTAACACTAACAGTCCTGCTCTGCTCCTCTGAGCTGACAGTGTGAGTATCATTAGAGTCTGCCTCTGCACAGGTGCTGATGCTGTAGCTTTTTCACTGCAAGAGCAGCTAGTTACCCATAGTACCATAGCGCTGCAAGCTGCTTTTACTTTTGTTAGAAATCTTTCTATTTAATGTAATTTAATATAATATATGTATGTAAAGTATAATGAAAGAAACAGAGGTTAACTAACGAATGATAACAATCATCATGTTACTTAATCTTTATGTTCAAATTAAACAATAAAAACGTTATGCTGCGTTTCCACTGCATGGTACAGCTCGCTTCACGCCTTTGGTACCAGGTACTGTTCTTGATTTTGTCTGCCACTGCAGCTGGCAACCCCTCAGTGTCGGTGGGATTCTTTAGACGATCGTCATATGACATAGACGATGCCAGGTGAAACTGACCGTGACATCATCTTCAGTGCAATCACACAGGAACAATGGAGGATATGTTTTCCTTTTGAGATCCTTTTATTGGCAACCAAAGCAGTCTTTACTTTGTCAGTTGATCATGGTGTGGATTCCCTCAACCAATCTGTGGTCAAAAATGAAAAACACAAAAGACCAAGTGGATTGGAGCCAAGCTGTACCATGCAGTGGATACACGGCATTAGACTCTAGACTCAGCTTGTGTTGAAGAGGATAGGTTTTGTTCTTTGAAAAAATAAATAAAAAATGAATTCTTCTGTTGATTCATCGTTGAAAACTGAATCTCTCCTCACTTGTACTCACGGTCTGGACTTGAGTCAATTGTGTACTCTTTTGAAGCTGCCAGGAGTCAGACACCACAGAAGGTAAAAAGTTAATAGTAAGGGTGACGATGCCAGATGGCTTATTGTCAACTGTCACTTGTGATGCTAACCAAAATCTATTAGGAGTATGTGTATCCAGCTGTGACGGTCGACATTGATGCTGCGTCTAAAAATTGATAAACTCTACGACAGCTGCTTCGTGAGGTCCTATTTGAGTCAGTCACACGATGTGACATGTGAATGATGGCGGACGTCTGTCTTTGTTTCCTTCGCGCAGGGATATCTGAGTCTGAGCAGTTTCTAAAGGGGACGTCACAGATCAAGATCCTGTCTCCTGAGGACATCGAAGGCATGAGAGTGGTGTGCGAGGTAACAGAACTGACGTCATTTGAGTCGCTTTTCCCGTTTAATGCATTGTGGTTTTGACATGTGTGTTATTTGCAGCTGGCACGAGAAGTCCTGGACATCGCAGCCATGATGGTGAAACCGGGCATTACAACAGAAGAAATAGACCACGCTGTGCATCTGGTACACACACACACACACACACACACACACACACACACACACACACACACACACACACAAAAAAGATAAAGCTTTTCTCCTCCCCAAATATAATAAATATAATAAATATCCCTGCTCATCCCTAAATATGACCAACAATATGCCCTCTTTTTCTGGGCCAACTATCAGCATGTTTGTCATTGTGAGAATGTAACCATGCTTACTTTAGCATTAAGTTCAAAGCTGGTGTGGCTGTAGACTCTTAGTCTTGTTTAAACCTGTTTAATAATTGTTGCCGAACAGACGTTGCTAATAAATAATGGAGCAGTGAGTATCTTCATGTAGATGAAGCTCCCTGCTGTGAAACATCAAGTCAGCTTTAGTTAAATATTGTACAATATTGAAGGCGGACACGCTGTCATGTCGGTCTTATCTAATACGTTCCGTGCACACAGGATTGTGGAGGATTGCGATGCCGAAAAGCTGTGTACAGATACAGAACTTACCAGCTGCATTAAGCTGTAAGACAGCTACATGAGGGGAAAGGGGGTCACTCATATTTTACTCATTTCTTGCAATCTCTCTAACCAACACACTTTGTCTGTTCAGGCTTGTACAGCAAGGAACTGCTACCCCTCCCCACTCAACTACTACAACTTCCCCAAATCCTGCTGCACATCTGTCAATGAAGTCATCTGCCATGGCATCCCAGACAGAAGACTACTACAAGAAGGGGATATCCTCAACGGTATGCTCATTGCACACATCATAATTTTGTCATTTTGGACCCTAGCACCAGTTGTTTGTCTCATATCTGCCACTGCTTTAAAGTTTCATCCTCCATTTGTTATAACTGACCAAAAATAAGAATTGTACATTTTTATATCTTTGTTAGAAATCCATTCTCAATATCAAACCAAGTTCTGGGAATAGTTAAGCAGTGTTTGTACGTAGGGGAAATGTTTTATTAAAGAGAATTGGGGGCTGGGGGCTGCCTTCCTCTGTGACAAATGATTGTACCAGCATCCTGAAATTTTGTCAGCGGGAGTTTGGCCAGTTTTAGCCTCTTTTATGAATATTTCTGATAAGGCGATGTCTTCCATCCGCCACTCCCCTCAGAGCATCTGATGGAGTACTTGCCAGCAACTCATCTCTCGCTGCGTGGTCCGACAAGACAAATTGTTTCATTAACCTTTACCAGTGGGGACTTGCTAGTCCCATTCTCTGCTCTCTATATTTCTTCTTAAGTGGGAAAAGTCCCACTTTGCCCACTAGCAATTCCAATTAATCAACAGTTTAAAAAAAGGGGACATTTTGTTTGGCCTTGTAAATAGGTTGATTTTTTATGAAAATGAGTTTAGCCAATGCACGCCATTATGTTTCATTATTCATAAGTGTATTTTCTTTGTGTTAAACATAATGGAATTGTTTGTCACATAGCACAATGGTTCTGACATATTCATCATATTCTTCATCATCTTACTCTTATCCAGTGGACATCACTGTCTACCACAACGGTTTCCATGGGGACCTCAATGAAACCTTCTATGTTGGAGAAGTGGATGAAGAAGCAAAGAAACTGGTCGAGACAACATATGAATGCCTTATGCAAGCCATTGACTCTGGTAGGAATTCCAACTTGATTCTCTTTCATTTTAATAATCTGAAATGTAAGTTTTAAATGTCTTTAAATAAGATTTTGACTGGTCTTAAAAGTTGATTGGATTAATGAAGGTAACGGTACTGAATAAAGTTGCATTTCTCTAACTTTTAAATGTGTTTCTGAGTAAAATGTGTATTGATCATGCTGTAAATAACTACAGTAAAACCAACATGGTCCAGTATGGACGTAAAATAGATCTTAAATTGCATTCATAATGGTCTTAAAAAGTCTTACAGTTAACCTGTTGAAACCTGCAGAAACAGCCCAACCCCACCTGCACTGCACTTTGTATAGACTTGCATTGTATGGTTGTTGGGGTAGGAGGAATATCAGATATTGGTATCAGCATGTGTCAGTCCACAATTAAGAAGAAATTGAAGTACACACAAAGGTTGATTAAATTTAGCAATACCGATAACATAGTTACTGTCCCCACCAAGAGAGCATCTACCAAGCAAGTGAAGATTGACATGTTCATCATTCATTTTCCCAGGCACAAGATAGAATTTCAGTCTTAATGTTAAATCTAAAATGGATGAAGAAATGATGAAAGTTCTCAGAATAAAGAGAAAAAAGAAACATTTCTATTTCCATGACAACCAAACAACTCCGTCTGCTGAGGAAGATTGTGTGATTGAAATCTGCAGAGCAGCGACTTTAAAGTGAGGTGAAATTGAAGGGCTCCTCATCAGAAACGTTGGTTTTGTTGCCTCGTCTGCACTACATCAGCATCAGATTTAAAGAAAATTCAAATAGAAGAACAGCCTATTACCCTCACGCTTATTTCTTGGCTTCCTTTTTTTAATTTTACAGTGAAGCCTGGGGTTCGCTATAGAGAACTGGGGAACATCATCCAGAAGCACGCTCAGGCCAACGGCTTCTCTGTAGTGCGGAGCTACTGTGGTCACGGCATCCACAGACTCTTCCACACTGCTCCCAATGTGCCACATTATGCCAGTGAGTAGTGACATACCTGCCACCGTACATGCTTTGAATCTCTGAAGAGTTCCCACATGTTCTCCTACAACAGGATGATTTCTATGTTCATTAATTTCCCAGAAAACAAAGCAGTTGGAGTTATGAAGCCTGGCCATGTGTTCACCATTGAGCCCATGATATGTGAAGGTGAGTGTAACTGCTTTTGTGTGAACAATAGGGGTAATTATAGGGATAATAATAATTTGAATTGGTATAAATAGGACATAATTGCCTTAATTAGGCTGCAGCAAATATCACAGTTAAGAGACACCAAAACAAGAATAAAATGATAACTTCTTTTTCTAAGCTGAGAAAAAGCTGTAATCTATCTATGAACACTTTATTCTTCACTTCATCTGACCAAATGTTAGGATAGCATAGATTTCTAAGGATAACAACAAAAATATTTCCGTCTACGTCATAAAGTTAAGTTTTTTTTACAATGGCAAAGGTTCCTCAGATGTGGTATTGATAGCCAGAAACGTTGAGACTCAAAGCTAGACAGAGAATGAGGATTTGATGCTGTTAACTGGCTCACAAGGGGTTAAACAACGTGTGATACAGCAGACCCAGTCATGCTTTAAAACAGGTCATTAAAATCCTAACAAGCACTTTATACCTCACCTGTATCCAGTGCCAGGCCTGACGTGTTTTGTTTCTACAGCAGTGTTTAATTGATGCCAGTGTTTAATTGATGCCAGTGTTTAATTGATGCCGTGTGTGTGCGTGCGTTTGTGCGTGACGTCTCAGGTGGCTGGCAAGACGAGACGTGGCCCGACGGCTGGACGGCAGTGACCAGAGACGGGAAGCGCTCGGCTCAGTTCGAACACACCCTGCTGGTGACGGAGACCGGCTGCGAGATCCTCACCCGCCGCCCCGAGGACAACGGTCGCGCTCATTTCCTGAGCCAAGTGTAGGCTGGACCTGAACGCACCAAGGACTGGACTCTCCAGACAGAGACACCCAGCACCTCTGGGTCTCTCTCACTCACACACACACACACACATGCGCACACACACATCTGAAACAAGAGGCACCACTCCTAGAGCTCAGTTTAACTGTGGCTCTCATTGTTCTTTGAATTAAATATTGGTTCCTCGAATTAAATGGAAGTACTTGAATGTGTCTTATATCAAACGTGGATCGCTTTATTAGTGAAAACAGTGTCCTCTGAAGGAAAGAAAGTATTTATTAGGTTTTGGTTTTGCTTCGTGGTCAGGCATGACATCAGGCCGGTTTTGACCTCTGGGTCATGTCAGAGTTTTTACTGGCTGGCTAGTTGTTGTCTGTGGTGTGTGGAGCTCAGGGCGAATCCAACTCTAACCCAGGCTTCGCTTCATTTCTCTTAGCCAATGCTAACTCAATCAGACTTCCTAAGAATTTCCCAGAGATGGACTGAAAAGTACCTGGAAACCTGGTCAACAAGTCTCACAAACTCAACAACTAGCAACTCAAAGCTTATTTAGGATAAGGAAAATAACACAAGGCCAAAAAAACGAAAAGATTTCAGCCAACGAAAACCATCCTCTGGCGGCCATATTGGATATTTTCAGCTCTAATGAAGCAGAGTTTAACAGCACATATTTAAAGGAGTTGTTTTAGCGAAAACAAAAGATAGATGAGAAGATTAATAGCACTATCATATACGTACTTTCAGCATGTAACTAGAAGACGTTAAACTTAGCTTAGCGTAGGGACTGTAGGCAGGGAGAAACAGCTAGCCTGGCCCTGTCATGGTTAGCACCAGCATCTCGACGGCTCAGTAATTACGTTGTATCATGTTTGTTAAATTTGTGCAATAAAATTACGTGCAAAATCGACTATTTGTTGTATTTACAGGAGGTTTCGTAAGCGTGGCCAAGAGATAATCTGGCACACAACCCCTCGTAAAACCTCAATTTGTCATTTTTACAAACTATGGATTAAACAAATGACATATACGGTTTTAATTAGTGCGCTTTAGAGGTTCTGGTTGGTGGATTTTGTTGCCTTCAGACAGTCAGGTGCTGTTTCCCCATTTCCAGTCTTCCTTTATTCTAAGCTAGGCTAAGCGAACAGCCTCCTGGCTGTATCTTTGTATTTAATGGACAGATGTGACAGTTATAATAATCTTTTCATCTAACTCTTAGGAGGAAAGCAAAATTAACATATTTCCCAGCGTCTGTAAGGGTTTGGAAAGGAAAAGAAACAATCACTTTATCACTTATCTCTGTGGTATGTACCTGTTGACGTGTCCAGTAGAAGCACTCTAACGCAATTGTTATATCCTGAACGTGGCTATTATTAGTGCACAGTCAGTTTTCCAGTAGAGGACGTCAGCCCTGGTTGCTAGGAGAATTGTGACGCAACCGCAGATCATCTACATAGACATCCAGAATGAGAACAACGACATTGAGCACAAAGTCGTTCTGAACTTGTTAATCCTGCTCTGAGGAATACTCTTTACAGTGTCTCATCATGTTTCCAATAGCCCTGGTGTAGCAAATTGAGCCTTAATGTGTGAATCTAGGAATTAAAACTTGCAGAATATCTCGAGGCACGTTAACTGATGTTCCCTCCCCCCCCCATCTCGACAGTCACCATTTACCTTGATGTGGGGATTTTCCTGGTGTGAGCAGCATTCATTATTTCTACATTTTCAGAGGACTAATGTGATCACAGTTTCTCTGCCATCTTTGTATTTCTTCTAATGGAGTAATAAATGACTCTTATGTAGCTCTGTGTGGGTGAGTTTGTCCTTGAATAGATTGGAGATCTAAATCCCAAAAGTGGTTTAATTCTCCAGCCTTTTATTACTGGAAATGAAATGGGTACCTGTTAGCCTTAATGCCTCTTGTAACTCAGTGGAGTGCAATGATTGTCTAAACTGCGTTTGGGATTTGATTTTGACACATTAGTTTACTTCAACTTTGACTGTATCGGTAAACTTCCTAATGTTAGTGAAGGTTGTCTGTGCTTCTATAAAAATGACTTTAGGTTCATAAACATGATTTCAGGAAAAAGTACACCAATTTAGTCTGCAGTTACGTACACAAGATTATTCATGGCGCCATGGAGCGAAGTTGGTGGTAGTTGTTTTGATGCAAAATGCTGCTTCAGTTCCAGTGCAAACCTCGGTGATTCAGCAGAAATGAATGACTCAATAAACTGCTAGGATGTTATAAATGAGGACCGCCATAGCACATCAATTAACAACGATATAAATTTGATTATATGGCAGCCATTTTGACCCGCTATAGCAGAAAAAGCACAACTGTAATAATTACCAGTTTCAGTAAATTGCTTAATTCTTAACCTTAAACTCAAAGTGGTGTCCTTACAAAGTGCAAAACACTAAATCATCACATGCATATACAACACAGACGCCTCATATTAGCACGTTTCTTCGCCTGTTACTAAACATACAGATCAGACTGGAAATAAGGACAAATAAATACATTCTTTTCCTTTTGATTTCTATCAAAATGTTGCAATGTACTGAAGTGTCTGACTGTAAAATGGTTCAGTGTTAAGCGCCTTCCAGCATTACAGTAATACTTTACCCTACTGTTGTTTAGACGATTAAAGGAATGGTTAAACCTTTGGGAAATGCACTTATTTGCTTTCTAGTTGGAGAAGATTGTGGGAGCACGGTAAATATGAAGCTACAGATGGAAAGACGTAGAAACAGCCAGTCTGGCTCTATCCAAAGTATCCTGTTCTTTCAATCATAAATCAAAGCGTAAAAACGTCAGTTGCCATTTTACAGAGGGTCATGTGCTGGAAATTACAGAACAGGAAAATTGAATTAATGCAGTGAAGTAAGAACCCCTTTTTTGCCTCGTATAAATGCAGGATTTACTAATTATGTCAAAGTCAGACTCTTATCTATACTTACATTCATGCAGCGTATTCAGTAAACAAATTATTTTCAAAAACCATTCATCAGGAGGTCATCATCTCAAGCACTTCAGAATAGATTGCACATTTCCTCTCATGGCTGCAAGAATTACGAGGGAATGACCATGACGTACAGTTGAGAAGTAGTTCCTGTTTGACAGCTTCATTTGATAGTATTTAAATTTAAAAATACATTAACATTATACATTGGGATTCTGTGATAAAAATATACAACACTGTGATGCAATTGTAAAACGCTGACATTTATGCCAGGTTTTAATTCAGTTCAATTCAATT